AAACAAGCAAGAATGCTGGACATGTAATAATAGGTATTGATGAAGAATTAACTGGTCTGATTAATTCCGCTCTTTACTCATACGGACAGAGGGCATGGTCCGTGTTTAGAGACCAAGAAAGACGGCATATCAGCATGGTGGCGATGTTACTGTTTGGGGGTTTATTCCTCTAAACTGTGAGTTACGTTAGCATGTCCTTGCTGCAACGTAAGCTAAAATTTCAGAAGCTCTTTGATCAGATCACTCGACCGTCAGTTGTGGAGCATATCGATGTTCATTGAATGGCAGGTCGGCTTATCTTATTGGACGACAGAGTCAAACCGTAAAGAAATATACTATTTGAGTAAATATTAACTGTATGCAATATGCTCACGTGTATTTTCTAGTCATATAAGCAGATCTTAAGATATCTGACATGATAGGGAATAATGTAATGGATGGTTTACGTGTGAATAATTAGCCTTCTTCACAATCAAGTATAGATTGTTCCTTCGTTTACATTCATTGTCATTACATTAAGGACTGAAAATTCACTGCTTTGACGAACGCGCGTGTGTGTGTTTGTTGGATGTTGTGGATGTGGTGGTGATGGTGGTGGTGGTGGTGGTGGTGGTGTGTGTGTGTGTGTGTGTGTGGCGTGCGTGCGCGCGTGCGTGTCTGTATGTTTGCGTGTCCGTACGTGTTTGAATGTATGTGGTGTATACGTGCGTGCTTGTGCGTGGGTGCGCGCGTGGATAATATGGTTTAAAAATTACATGGCATGTTTTTGCCCGATATGTACCAACGAACGAACCGTATTAGTTTCACGCTATGTAAACTTCTTCATAGAAACTGCAAATATTGACTCAAACAGCACAGCACAAATAACCATTCATTTATTCACGTCACTATTCTGGTCCTGAAAACGGAATGCTAGGGTATATTGTGATGCTCATGACTACAGAGGACAAAATAGTATGTTGATGTCACAACTATTTTCCAGGTCTGAACAAAGTGACCAAATTAAAGTTGTGTTGAAGAAAAAGTGGCGTAACTGCTGACCATCTTTAGTGAGACCCTGATTACCTACAATGACAATATGACCGTAACTAAATCGTACCATTTGCCCCTGGTAATGGGAATTTCTGATGACGTGTCGGTTTAAAAGCTCGGAACTGTGATTCAACGGATTTAAAGCTAATACACGGAATTGTAAGCCAAGCTACATCCAAATCGATTCCGAACCATCGACACGTTGCCTTCAGTTGTGTGGCAACGGCATCCTTTGCTTGAAAACATCTTTTTATTTTTTTTATTCAAGGGATCGTACACGCGACACACAGATGGATGTAACTTTCAACATGAATGCAAAATTAGCTCTTCTCTTGTCTTTTAAAATGTCATATCACAACCCATACATATTCAAACAAAAAAGTTCTGTGGAGGGTGTCTTCGAGTTCTAATTGGCTATTACTCTAGCTGTCGCAAGGACGTTAAACACTTTGATATGTAACAAATGTGTTTGTGTAGAGCAACAGCTAAAGGCATAGGCAGATGATGTTGTTGGTCACAGAAAGGTGTTTCTATACCCATACGAAAATATCGCAACTTGGACACGACACACAGAAACACATTCAGTCTGTATGTAACATAGAGGGAAATTCAGATTTAACAACAACAGAACCCAATACTAGGACAAATAGCTCGATATTAACAAATATGGCGGTAGGGTGATAGTTTTCAGATAAGAATATATCGATATTCGAGTTTTAGTCGTCACTTAAGATCAAATTAACCGGACAGCAGAGGTTTCCTATAGAAATTAAAAAATTTGAAATTTCCGATGTCAGATAAACTGTCTATCGATTACTCACAATTAACACGGTAAATTGATGAAAAGAGCAAATAAACACCTCAGTTCTAATATTTCTCCCTGCTTGCTCACGTAAAGGAAACTTTGATTCTGTCCATCAATAGCTTCACATAATGTATAATGAACGTAATATATTCAGGAGACATTTTGCGGCAAAATTCAGTTCATTCTAAACCAACAATAATTAGGACAATACGCTCATCTAATTTTTATATATAATCAATAAAGTTAAATTTATGCAAACAAAATCTAGCTCCGCCCACTTGAAAATGAATCGAGGATTCAATATCAACACGCCACCTTGCGGCGGGTCTGTTCGATTTGCACGAAATGAATATCTGATTACACATTAACCTAGTGTGTGGATCGCTGTCATACAATGAAATAAACAAAACACGGACTACTATAAACTATCCAAATATCTAACACTGAACACAAACAATAAAACAACAAATAAATAACGGTTTTATCAGGCGAAAATATGCTATTTTATATTTCTACACATTTCCTTTTGCAATATGAAGGGCCCACTCGTGAACGAATTTTTCAACAACTGAAAATGACGCGAATAATTATCAAAGGGCCTGTTTCCAGTAATGTTAATTCTCCATAGGAGCCTGCCCCCGTATAATTTCTTATCTAGCTCAACTACTGTTTTTTTCTTTTCCGAAAAATGATTTTACACCTTTCCGACACCCAGATTTCATAATTTCAGTGAAAATGTATTTTTATAAAGTTGTCAATTTCAGCATCAAAGACATAAGTTCGTAAATAAAAGGTTATCTCGAAATTGTAATTCGCAACATAGTATAAATTTCTTTTGATAAATATTTCCAAAACATCGTGTTTATTCATAAAACATAAAAAAAATATTCTCGGATGAAAATGCACTTGCAGAGACACAATTATGAAGAAAATGCCATAAATTTGCAATTTTCTCCCGTTATATAGTTTTGGATGCAAATTTCCATCAGAAAATCGGATAGAGCTTTACTTGTTTCATATGTGTACCGAAAATCAGCTAATTACATGTGGTGGAACGTTCTCATATCGCCGCCTGAATGTGGTTGTAAATTGAAAGAAAAAAGGGGAAATGAATAACAACCTTGTCTGAAACCCTATTATATAGCTTATTATATATAAATTTTTATATTGAATATCAGAGCGGATATTTTCATGACAGTTTTATGATGTGTAAAAAAAAAAAAAAAAAAAAAAAGTACTGTTTCCCCGTCTCGATCTTGATTACTTGAGAACCATTACGTGTGGAACGTATCAGATATCTCTGGCTCCTGGTTACATCGCCGAACATTTAAGTGATGACGGCGACTATGAGGTGTGGCTTTACCAGCACTCCCCAGACCTTCACCGATGTCAAATACATTCTCGACACAAAAGCCAAACGAAATATAACGTTTGGATACGGTTCACCGTTTCACCCGATGTTGAGGCCCCAATAAAGGACTACTACTGCCAGTGCCCAGTTGGCGAGAGAACGATGGGAATGTGTGCGCACATCTCCAGTATCTTGTACTACCTTGGGTATTACAGGACGCTGGAAAACCCTCGACCATTACAACCACAGGTAAAGAAATCCCGACAAAACTTGAAATAGTTTTCCATGCGGCAACAGAGTGCATATGTCGAAAGTATGTTTGGGGCTCGATATGAAAGATCCCCGTTACCATGTGACTAACCAAATTTATAAATATAGGTATTATACAATCGCCCGTAGCTATGAACACTCCCGTAAATGCGAAAACCAACCAAAATCATAAGGAACACGTTTTGTTTGTTGTTCTGTCTATTTGTCAGCCAATGTCTTCAATCACGGGGACTTGCGAAGTAGCCATCTTGGATTTTTTTATGAAAAGGTGTTTCTCTCACTTTTTTTCATATCTGTGTACATATTCTCAACATACCGAGCAAATACTCTCGTTTTTTTGTTAATTATCTAAAGAAAGTCGAAAATCGGCAATTCAACCATAGGCTAATTCAACCCAACATTTGAAAATGTTCCACCACTTACATTTTGATGATTTTTCCTCTCATCAATAGCATATTACGTACTATTTAATGGGATAAAAATTGGTTTGCATCCAACGCCATAAAAGGGTGTATTCTCTAAAAAAAACACAGTTTTTGTGTCTAAAATGTTATCGAAAATAGCATTTTTGAGATTGTTTCTTCCAAAAACAGGCAAATGGCGCGATGGAAACATGATTTTTTTGTCACAATCATGCCATGAATGTATTCTTTACGGTGACTATCATTTGATTAGATTTTCATTAATATTTTACATAACATGCACATTTTATCAACACTTAGACAGCTTCTGAAAGGTACAACTTTGAGGAGCCATAAAAAACAAACCAAGTGACCTAGATCTTTATACTTTCTAGATTTGTGACCACAACGGCATGGGCAATGCACCACCAACAGGAAATTTGAATCAGAGAAGGGGCCGTTTTGGAAACCGGCCCTTTGTACGTGTATGTGTTATTTTTGTTTTTGAATCTTATCTAAGAAAATAAATCATAAGCCTTGATAGGAAGATTTCTTAGTGTCATGCCGGTATGACAGAAATAAACCTTAGTACAAATTTATCATGAAGGTGCAGCACGGAGCTAAAACCATTCCTATCAAAACACAATAAAAATACATTGGTAAAATTGAAATTCGATATCACCGCAAAATCTATTTCCTTTAATAATTTTGATTATTATTTTAACCGCCCCATTGCGTTTAAAACCTTCATTCTTAAGATATAACACATTCTAACACTAAACGCTGACGTCATACCTTGTTGACATAATTAACAAAGCTATTAAAAAGCAGATTTGTAATATGATACAAATATTCAAATTACTGAAACCGGATGATTTTACACTGCACTTTGTAATCGTCTAGATACCCTATCACTTGATTGTTGATAAACCCTTTATTTTCCTGGTACTTAAAACTGTATCCTACATAGTTAAACACAAGACCCTCATACCATTGTTCCCACTTTCCGGTAATGACGTTATATTGTTTCAATTGATTTGCTGGCCCAGTGTGACCAAGTGTGTTTTGACAAATATCGCGGAACAAACATACATTGCGCATGCGTCATAATTACATATATAGCACGTTCATGAAGTGGGACTAATTACTCTGTCCTTGTTTCTTTTATTGTTCAGCTTTCAACATGAACAGACACTTTCTGGTCATATGTCTTCTTAGTTTGCTGTGCCAATGGTAAGAATGTACTTTTTTTTCTCTCCATTTTTTCTCATTAGAGTAAAACTATGATTTCGTAGGATAAAAATTGCAAGCAAAATAATATAAGATTTGGTCATGTATTTATTCTTTAAAAGAAAGTCTAACCTGTAGGAAAATGTCGGATAACAACATTTGTGTTTCCCATTGACTTAGTAAAATAAGACATATATGTTATCGGTATCAAATCTTGGTTGGCTTTAGCATGGTGAATGTCGTATACCGGAAACCCTTTCCGCACACTTAAAACACGTTTTATACTGGAGATTTTGAACATGTTTGTAAAATAACCACTGGTTTTCGATTATGATAATTGACCAGTTTTGGATGTTTGTTACTAGCTTTGATATCCAATATTGAACAGGATATTGTTATAGTCAGTTGAGGAAACGAACCCTACTTACAATATATACTGCTGATTTTCATTGCATCGTCATTTCCTTTTTTATTTTGAGAATCCATATTACATTTGATGGCAGTTTGGTCGTTTTCTGTGAAAAATAAAGGACGTTGAACCTGCTGAGAAGATAGATCTCACTATCCTGTCTGCTTCCGCATTACACACACGGTGTCAATTTTTGTATATGATTACTGTTATGTTTACATGTCACTATCATGGCTTTTCGTTTTCGCATGGAATGTTTCAAAAAAAAATTAATATCAATGTATTACTTAATTTGTATTTCCGTGTTTATTTCTTCAATGCAGTTCTACAAAGTACGTACCTGAGATAATATTTTCTGATTATTCTGGAGATGGATCAGGAGAAGTAGAATCGGCAACTACAACCCAGATCAAAACGACAGTGGGAATTCTAAACGACGAAAATGAAATAGATGATGTCACATCCTCCACTATGACGTCACAAACAGATGACGACATATATATTATTACATCACCTGACACCAAAGACTCGGGAATCACCGAAAGGAACGACACACCCACTGAATGTAAGTAGCATCAATATAGCCATAATATTTTTTTAAAATTACTTGAATGTTAAAAATTCAATTTATTGCGTGTTGTTGTTGTTGTTGTTGTTGTTATTGTGTCTATGACGTTGACATTGAACAATTAATTTAATGCCTATTGAAGCTTCGGTTGAATACAAACAATAGACAATGACAATACCATACAATATGATTAAAACAATTGACATGGATAATATAGTGATGACAGATGGCAAACCCTCGAGTAGCTACTGATTAAGTCCAGAAAATAAAAATAAAAACAGCCATCGTAGAGAGGAAGGACAGCAGATCGAGACAATGCAGCGAATGTTAGAACAGTTGGTTTTAGTTTGATTATAACGAGTAAGAGAACTTAACATTACTTGGTTTGACCAAGATTTACATGGCGCTTACTCCTCTGGAACACCTGGTCTTATTCTCCTTGTTATATTTCAGGAGTCTTCGTGTAAAATTTTCTTCTGTTCATATTTTGCCGTCTTTGGATTAACTTAATGTTGACATGTTGGTTTTTTCCTCTTTATTTTCACTACTCTGATTTCTTTTCATCACAGCTGACGAGATCACTGGAAATCAAGAGGCCATAATAGTACTGGTTGTAGTGACATGTATCACCTTTCTTGGTATTCTCCTGCTGGGAGCCGTGATCATCGTTAGGAAACGGAGTAAGTATAGTGATCGAATCATGACCTGTACAGACAAGAGACAAGATTCTTCTATCCCTCAATCATCTAACAAATTTCAGACAAACGACAAGTGTCTTCAAACAATTGTAAGACAAAAGACGAGTATTTATCTCCTAACACATATCAGACAGAAGCCAAATATCTTCTGTCTCCTAACAATTGTCAGAAGCCAAGGGTATTTATCTGCTAACAAATGTAACATAAATCTTCTTTCCCTAAAAAATGTCAAATAGAAGACAATTGGCTTTTATCTCCTAACAATTGTCAGAAAGACGCCAAGCTCGTCATTAGTTCTTAACACCTACTGACTTTGTACACGTTCCAATATCAAACACCAACATTATCAGTCTGTGATAATTTTTCAGTAAATTTTCAAATACCATCGTTCCTAAATTACCCTAAATATTTAAAAGTTGTGCTACACAAATCCTCACACCTCAACTCCTTAATAAACACATTACAACTGCAAATATCGCCATACCACGACAGAATATAAATGTATATCAAATAGATAGAGGTTCATGAATATATCAATCGAGACACTTATTTTGGACGAAATACATTATATTTGTACAATAGAGATTACACAAGTTACAGACGAAATACATTATATCTGTACAATAGAGATTACACAAGTTACAGACGAAATGCATTATATTTGTACAATAGATATTACACAAGTTACTGACGAAATACATTATATATGTACAATAGATATTACACAAGTTACAGACGAAATACATTATATATGTACAATAGATATTACACAAGTTACAGACGAAATACATTATATATGTACAATAGATATTACACAAGTTGCAGAGAAAATTTGAAAACATGTACATTTTTTAAACATATATAAATGTATATGTTATACTTATATATATCTATCTTTTACATAAAACAGTATTATAAAGATGTTAGACATTAAATGATAAAACATACTAAATAAAAAACAAATGAAACAAGATAATGTAGTGGTACATTCTTGTGTAATATTAAAAATATCTCACGGAAAATAAAATATCACACGCCTAGAATTAAATAGATAGACCACCATGATTCATTATCAATGGGACATTGTTTGTGCATAGTGATAGCGAATAAATGCACGAGAAACGATGGTCTGCTAAGTGGGTTGTACTTACGGAGGTGTATACCATGGGGTACGACATAATTAAGCATGAATCATTGTGAACGTGCTGTACATAAATACTTTGAAATTATTACTCATGTTCTTCCCTAGTGGTCATTTAGAATCACGCACGTTGAGGATGCAGTACATGAATGGAATGTTTGTTTAATATGTATATGACGACTCTTCATACATCGGATGTATATCGTGAGTTCAAGACCCGGATAGGGTCACAAACTGTCTTCCTTCGTGAGTTGTGTTACCATGTTCTAACTTATATGTATAAAAATAATAAATAAATAAATAAAAATAACTAAAATAAAAGAAATACAAAATGTGAAACATAATGATAAAAAATGTGAAGATCTATACAAACTCAAATAAATAAACAGATAAATAGATAAATCAATCAAACTTCAAAATACAAAATGTGAAACATCATTATAAAAAATGTGAAGATCTATACAAACCTCAAATAAACAAATAAACAGATAAATAGATAAATCAATCAAACTTCAAAATACAAAATGTGAAACATAATTATAAAAAATGTGGAGATCTATACAAAGTCAAATAAATAAACAGATAAATAGATAAATCAATCAAACTTCAAAATACAAAATGTGAAACTTAATGATAAAAAAAAGAAGAAAAAAAAGGAAACATTAAATAAATACACACCCAAATAGATAGATAATGTGTATAAACGATAAATACAATGGTCAATTGGGCCTCTCAGTGTAATGTATCTCTGCGGAAGAAAACAAAATATTATTCAAATTCACATTTGTATGCTTTCAATACTTAAGTACAATGACATCAAATTACACCAAACCATAAGTATACTCTATTTGGAACATTCCAAAACCTAATTTACAGAACCATACGGTTTCGAACATTCTTAATGCACATTTCCTAGCCTCTTCTCTGTTATCATGTTTAACTATGTTTAACACGTTCCGAAATATTATCTTCATAACAACCTTCTGCTTTAGGACAGACATTAAACAAAGGTATCGAGAGCAATCCATCTTTTGAAAAGCAGCATCCATTTAGATTTTTTTATATCATACATATCATGTGACAGTGCAGTGAAAATGTGACAAGATCTTGGAAAAAGAATGAATGGAATGCATTTTGTAATAAAAACAACATAAAATACATATTTCCATCTGGCTGTATTAAAATCATACCCCTTTATATATTTTAGTGACACCTTAATATATTCTAGTGCCTGTAAAATATTATGATACCTATTTATGCCCGTGTGATAAAGAATGTCCATTTACAATAATTTTTAGTAAGTTTCATGTACAACATTGAAAATTCTGTCATGTCTATCATGTTATTTCTATATCTATCATTTTGTTCGTGGTTTCAGGGATGAGTACGACACATATGACAGTGTATCCAAACTCGAAGTAAGTTTGATTCTTAATTAATGAGTAAATTGCAAATTGTAAGACTTTTAGACTATCTTACTCGATACATCTGTGATGTAAATGTATGTTTACGCCCAGTGTAAGAACAGAGTTACAAGAAACCTGACACATAACGAGACTCCGAATGTTTTATATGGTAATGGTACTGTTGACTTAGAAATACTCATGATTTCAACGTGCTGATGTTTTGGGTAAGGCCAGAGCGCTAATTAAAAGAGATTATATACGAAAAGAGGACAATTAGTGAAACTTTCTTACGATGTTTTGATAGTGAAATAAAGGAATGTCTTTTTTCAACTCCATTGGCAGGATGGTGTTCCTCACATCTTCCTTGACGGGCAGCAAAAGTACTGATGTCCTGGATATTACCAAATCCACATTGGACTACAACGAGTAGGAGAAGACTAGCGCTCTTGGGCAGAAATCCCCTATCACCATTTGGAATTTTCTGATTTTATATAACATTGGGATTGAAATTCCATTAAAAATAGTCTTCTTGGGAATCATGGAAATTGTCATACAATGACATTTTTTTTTCCTTTCGCCATTTTTTTGTACTAGTTTCATCGAATTTGATTTTGAAATAAGATTCTGTTGACATGTTGGTATTATCCTTTATTGTTTTATGTTTTCGCCTTTCTTAACTCATCTGATGAATGCAATGACCAAATATATCTAATTATGGGGCTGCTGCACCTCCCCGTCTAGATTTTGACTTTTGTTTTGATCACTTTGGATTTTCCTTAGTCGCCTTCCAGGCTTCAAATTTTAGGCCGCGACTTCACTGACGAGTCCTTGAAGGCCGAAACAGCTGTATGATGCAGTTTAATTCATTGTTTGACTCTACTGTATCTCACTCTAAACTGTGAAAATGTGCTATTCACTTGTGTGTCTTTTGTACAATATTTATTATGATGATATGTGTGATATGAAATGAAAATGTGGGTAGGGATGGGGTTGGGGTGGAGTTGGGGGACTAATGGTGTTGTTGTATATTGTACTGACTAGATCAAGCTTTTGGCTTGATAACTGGATTATTTAAGTTTTGAAATGTTGATATCATTGAGCACCAAGTGCATTTTCATTAATATCATTGTTGTGTTTAGCATATAAAGAAAAAATGTAAATATATACATAGACAAATACCTATGTATACTCTTTAGATATTAGCTGTTAAATATTTACATATGAAAATTATCATAATTCGGTATCTATTTCGAGTTTACTTAATACAATAATAAAAAATATATCGTAATCCTTATTTTCCTAATGCCTCGTTGTTAAAAAACTTACAAGGAAAACAAAATTTATTAAAATATTTGTGATCAACAAAATCCAACGTGAACCACGTGATCACATGTAAATAAATTGTTGAGTTTTATTAAATATTGTTCGGTTATTTTTTCCTGAATGTGACAGGCAACAATAGGAGTTGTATAATAATTAGTCCGGAAGAATATAGAGATTTCGGAATGAAAAAAAAAGTCGTGATTTGATATCCCCCTCATCTGAATTCGGACGCTAAAATCTCTCATGTTCTGTAGCATATTTTTTTTTTATTTAAACATATTTATTGCCCCAAAATTGAGCAGAGGATTAGGCACAAGTTATTTCAACTTATGACCGCCTTTTCCTCTAATACATTACATGATAAATATTTACATGATAACATTAACAAGGCATACATAATATATTTAACATTTAGTACATTTTACTTAAAATCTGTTGCTGGATTTGATAAAAATTTGCACGAGTCTGAATACTTCTGTATTGGTGGTTAGGGACAGATTTTCATTTCCAAATAAAAATAGATGTAAATTCACTTGATTTAAGTTCAACATGTTTATACTTTGAAAGAATGATATTCTTACCCTATCATAAAGCTTACATTCTAGGAAAAAGTGCCCAACATCCTCACAGTAATGTCCACAAGCACACGATGGGTTATCAACAATCTTAACACGGAACAAATCACTTTTCAAAGAGCTGCACTGATGTCTGAGTCTCGTATGTAATATATTTAGCTTACGTTCGCCAAAATTATAATAAGATGAAGGACAAGAATTAGCGTCAATAGATAAAGAAGATTTAAAAGCATTCAAAGATGGTAATGTTCTTATTGAATTGTCTAGCGAATTCCACAGACGTAAACTTGATGGGAGAGTCTGAAAGAAGGAATGATATAATCATGTTGGTTCCGTAAATTATACTGATTGTTGTAACCCACTGTGTTTGGCAAAAGGGCCGGTAAATAAGAAGGGGTTAAATTATTTATCATTTTGTATAATACATTTAACTTACGTGTTCTCCTTCTCTCTGATAATGTTTCCAATCCCGTTTCAAAATATAGTGATACATTACTAGCATACAAAGGTAAACCTGTTATAACTCGAGCCGCTTCTCTTTGTGCTTTCTCTAATTTCTCAGAATCCAAAACAGAGCAACCATCCCATACCTCAAAAGCATATTCAAAAACAGGTAGAATGAAGGATTTATATATTTTTAACAGAGAATCTCTTTTTAATAAGTATTTCAGTTTTCGTAAAACATTAATTTTTTTCATAACCGAGCTATATACTGCCTCAACATGGCTCCCCCACTTTCCATTTGAATTAAAATTTACTCCTAAGTGTCTGTGAACTTCTGTAAAACTCAAAATTTCTCTGTCAAAAAATAAATCTAGATCCCCGTCAGTATTGACTGAATTTGAAATAAAAAGGACATCTGTTTTTAGAGGGTTAAAAGAAACCAACCAACGTTTAGCCCACTGATTTAAAGATTCAAGGTCCCTGTTGAGAACAGTCTGTAATTCGTGACATGAAAAAGCAGAATGAAATAATGATGTATCGTCTGCAAATAACCTAGAGGCCGACTCAAGAGCATCTGAAATATCATTGATATATAACAAAAAGAGAAGCGGCCCGAGTATTGAGCCCTGGGGTACACCAGCGTCGATATTACCTAGACCGGAATAAGAATTTCCAATTAAAACTTTCTGTTTACGCTGGTGAAGATAATTTGTGAACCAATTTAACAATGATCCCGAAATTCCATAAGATTCCAATTTAGCTATCAGGCCCCTGTGCCAAACACGATCGAAAGCTTTAGATATATCACAAAAAATAATACAAGTGTGTTTTTTTTTCTTCTAAAGCAGTACAAATATTATGGTAAATTTCAATAAGTTGATAAACAGGAGAATGACTAGGCATAAAGCCGGACTGATAGTGATAAAACAAACGATTGTCAAACAAATAATTATACAAGTGTTTGTAAACTACACGCTCGAAAACTTTACCTACTGTAGATAGAAGGGATATTGGTCTATAATTACATGGCGTATGACGGTCACCCTTTTTGAAAAGTGGCATTATAGTTGCAAGTTTCCATTTGTTTGGATACACACCTAAAGAAAGAGACATGTTAAAAAGTAGTTCAAGTGGTTTACAGATAAAATTTGCAGTGTACTTCAGCACATGATGACTAATAACATCCCCTCCCGAGGCTTTACCTAGTTTTAAAATCTGTAAAACATCTTTTATTTCCAAATAGTTTAACCTGAGAGATACAAAGCGTTTATCAGTTTTGGATTCAATAATCGGAACTGGGACATCAACATCATTAACATGAGTAATGCTACAAAAATAGTTATTAAGTAAACGCGCTTTATCGTCATCGTTAGAAAAGGTAATATTGGTCGTTTGGTCCGTCATTGAAGGAATGTGTTGATAATGTTCGCCGGATTTCATAAGTCGTTTTACTAGTTTCCAGTAAGATTTAGGATAAGAAGAAACGTATTCGTCAATAAGTCCATGTACATTTTCGTAAAAGAGAAGTCTAGCATGTTTTTTCATATAATTTACCTTGTTCCTCTGAGCTTTAAATTTGTCAATGTCTGAATGTCGGAGTGTTGCCCTGGCAATTTTGTGTAGTCGGTCACGGATTCTCAATTTTTTTCTAAGTTCAGATGTCACCAGGGCTTGTCGTTAGGTCGAATTGTAACTGTTTTAGAGGGTATACATCTGTTAATAAAATCTAAAAAAATGTCAGTAAAATTGTCACACGCAGCATCAACTGAATCACTGTTAGAAAACAAGGCAGTCCAGTCATATTTGTCAATAAGGCCATTTAGCATGTCAAAGTCAGCTCGTTTATATAACCACACTTTCCGTCTGTAAATAGGTTTTGTGAAAGAGTTAATTTCGATTACTGCAATGCAAACCCTCATGGTCGCTTACATTCCTTATTATAGGTAAAACTGACGATTCTTTACAAATAAGAGAGTCTGATAATAAAATGGGGTAAAGTAAACTAGATCTGGATGGACCAATTCAAGTAGGTTCAGATATAACGTTTTTCAAGGAAAACGTGTTTATATAATCAATAAGGACATTGTTATAAGAAACAGAGAGTAAATCAACGTTGATATCACCAACAATAACTACATTTTGAGACATATCTAATGCACTATCAGTAGATAATTTTAAGTTTTGCCAAAACGAATTTATCGAGTATTCAGGCCTGTAGACAGTGCCAATTATGAGATTTGAACTAACTAAAGTAATTTCTATCCATATAACTTCATCCCCCGGATATTCTATAGCATGTAGACGAGAAACTTTCAACAAGTCATTAACATAAACTAATACACCACCCCCAGCAAAATTTCTGTCATGTCTAAAGGGTTCATGAAAACCGGCTATAAGTAAATCGTCAGTGGAGACGTTATCATCTAGGTGTGTCTCAGTCAAACATATAATGTCATATTCACTAGCTATGTCCTCGATATAATCTAACTTGTTTCTAAAACTCCTAATATTTACATGAAAAATAGAGAGTTCCCCACTATTCGGACCAGGATTTGCAATAGCAAAAGTAGTATAAAATTATAGTTTCGAAAAACTAATTAACATTTGTAGCATATCTCAAATAATGATGTCTCGTTAAACATTCTATACCTGTAAATAACCAACTTACCAGGACAAGACGTTGTGTCGTAGTGACTACCGAATATTACGATAAATGTGAATGGATAAACACTTAACAAAATGGTATCCTGTAGGTAAGGACAATAAAAGCAAAGATAAATGCATTTGTTTATTTGTTTAACAATCAAAAACATTTCAAAGTATAGTCCATAAACATCGCTTTGATGGGATTTCTTTGTGTATCGAGGTCAAGGAATTAGCGGGATCGCTAATTTTATACAATCAATTAGATCAATGTTGAGTCAGCTTACAGAGGGGTTACTATGACGTCATCATTAGTCGTACGAAAAAACAATATTATACAAAATAAAAAAAAGAAAAAAGAAAAGAAAAAAAAAGATTCATATTCAAAATGACAAATAAAAAAGGTTATTATTATTCTCCTTGATACCAAAATGAACACTCAAAAAATAGGCATCAAACTTTTCTTTTCTCAAGAGAAATACCTCAGCAACCAGAAAACGTTGCATTGTTGACGCTATTAACCGAATTACGCCGTTAAGTACGCCGTCACCATATGTAGTCCAAAAGCGAAATTACTAATTTGATGACTGGCCTCTCTTTCCTGGGATACAAAGGAGAAAAGATAGAAAGGAAAAGCTATGTTGCTATGGAGATTAAAGCTCGTTAAATCAAATGTAAACATTTTTTTTTTGTAATTCATTTATTTTTCGACAAGTTTTTACATATTACACAATACACAATATACAAGAGAATCCACACAAAAAACATACACCCACACTCTCACACTTGTGTGCTCTGACTTGACTATGTCTTACACATGTACATGCATCATCATCCTCATCTTTATCATCATGCACATGTATCTACTACTTCCTGTACACAAACTCACTCATCAACATTCACACCCACTTACACTCACATAACTGCGTGTACTTAACAAAATATTCACAAATACAAAATCATGTCACCTACACTTATCAAAGATATTTCCTCACACACATATACTCACTAAGGGGGGGGGAGGGAGGGAGAGAGAGAGAGAGAGAGAGAGAGAGAGAGAGAGAGAGAGAGAGAGAGAGAGAGAGAGAGAGAGAGAGAGCAGACGTTTGAACAATACTAAAGCGCCGTTACAACTGTTCAAATCCGTCTCGGTATACTGTTATGTATAAACGATTGATTAGAAAACCAATGATTTGTCATATTTAGTTGCAGAGTATGAATGCAGATACTTATAATAATGTATGATCTTAGACCTTATCTCGAACCGAACAGTGCATGTAAGATGATCTCTGGTTGGTCGAAACCTTTTCGCTCCCAATTTCTACATGGGTAACATTTTTAGCGACACATTGTAACACAAAGCATCGATTGACTTAGGGAAGCATTGTGACTGAACCTCAATCCAGAAAAAAGTGGAAGGATACATCAGAGGTA